GGGGGGAGAGGCACCTGGGAGAGGCTGCCCAGCACCAGCCGGACCAGCTTCCTGATGTAGGAGAAGGGCGGCTCGCCGCTGGAGTTCCTGATGTGCTTGCTGCAGATGTCCAGCACCGTGCGCAGCGACATGCGGCTCAGCGTGACGTCGTCGCACATGTTGAGGAGCAGGCTGTTCAGGTGCTCCCCCAGCTTCATGGGCTGCAAAGGAACCCCGGGGGAGACGGTGAGCGATCCGCTAGCGGGTCTAAATCTGACTCCATCCTTTTTTATTCCCCAAAAAATAAACATTTCAAAAGGCCTCTGGCGCCATCGTGGAGCTGATATCTAATATTCGGAATGAAACGGGGGGAATTTCCATCGGAATTTGGCCCCCGACTTCTCCAAATCCAGCCTTTTCCAATCAATACTGACGCACGCCGCAAGTTGGAGCCGTATTTGACTACTATTGTGGTCAAAGACGCTAACGTTTATCAAGTTACAGCCTGTACTCTCCGCCAACTAATACCCGTTTTGATCAGATTACAGAAAAAAAAGAAAAGCCATGAGCCAACTGTGGGCGGCATTTCCTCATAGATGCAAACACACAAGGCGGATTGTTTTGAGGCCGACAGACGGCTGAGGGGACGCGGGAGAAACCCGAGCATCTCAAACACATCCCCCTGAGTTTTCACACATTTCCAGACGCAGATCCAATCTCAAAAAGGAAGATTTCTCTAAAACAAACTCACTTACTTACTACTTATATATTCACATTATCATATGGTTTGATGTGTGTTTGAAAGAGTAATTCCACATTTCTGATGTCAAACAAGGTAAAAGTGAGACCATTAGGCAAACCGATTAGTCATTCACCGAGTTTTTATTAACTAGCTCCCCCCCTTCTGTCTGGAGTAAGGCATTGGTGGTGATGATTTACCTGACTTTGGGGGATTTCATAGTCTGCTCCCCAGAATAAGGTCATTCCCAGAGAGTACATGTGCATCTGTGGGAGAAAAAAAAACAGCCCTTAGTCTCTAAAATGCAACTTCCATGATTCAGTCTCAGCCACAGAAAAATCAGAAAAGGAACCTTTAAAAAGGGGGACGAGCTCCTTCATTCAGGCACTAAAACATGCTCAAATTAAGCAGAGAGAGAGCTTGTTTCCCCACCTCGCGAAGGAAAAAGACTTTCGGCCTAAATCCCCAAACATTTTTCCATTTCCCTCTGCTTATTACTCTCCACTCGTTGCTTGAGAGAGAAAAGACTTCCCTTGAATGTTTGGGTTTGGTAGAGGAAAGAATAATTCAGGGACTGCCAAAGAGTGAAACGCAGCCTTCAAGGTCTCTCAGGCGCAGATCCCCGGGTGCACGCTTAAAGAGACGCCCGCGCCCTCGGAGAAAAGCCGAGGCTTAAAGGAGAAGAACGGGGGAGAAGCTGAGCGGGAAAACTGGAGCACTCGCAGCTGACACATGTTTACCCTCCGCCCGATAATGAAGGGAACAGATTAGGCCTTCCGCGCTGAGACAGCTCAGCTGGGGAGTCGGGCCCGGGGCGGGAACGCTGAGTCAGCACAAAGCCCCGGCGAGGTCTGTGGAGCCGTGCCAGAGACGGGCTTCCAGTCACTCAGGCTTTCAGCTCCGCCAGCAGGGAGGCGGAGCCGGACAGGTTGACGTTAGAGGCCCTTAAGGGGCCCTTTTGGGGTCCCTGTGGGGCCTGTCAGACCTCCTTCCTTCAGCCATTTTTCGGGGCGGCGACGCTAAGTGGGCCCCCCGGTTTTTGTTTTTATTTAAAGCCTTCAACCACACGTGCGTGAGCACAGAGGTGTCACCGTTCTATAAATTCCTCTGCTGGTTTCACACCGTTACGCTGACTGGTACACCCAGCAAAAGGCAGCAGGCAGACATGGAGGTGGACAGCTCACGCTTACAATCTCTTTTAGGAGGGAGGGAGGGCACCCAAAGATATCTTACACACACCATCTGTGCTGTTTTTAGAGTTTAATGAGGAGTGTTTCCAGCCTGGGGGGTAAAATATGCGGAAAAAAAGACAGTAAAACATTACATCATAATGACTTTTACCTTTTCCAGGTCCGAGATGGAATTCAAGGAGAGCCCCTCCAGGACTTCTGGGGCTGTGAAAGCCTTCACGTCCTGCTGGGTGACGTACTCGTCAGTGAACGAGATGTTGCCGGAGGGCATGAGCAGGAGGGACCAGGGGGAGATGATGAAGCCCATGGCTGTGTGATCTGGGGGGGTAGAAAGGGACAAATCGGTATGTGGACGCTTGACCAGGAGCAGAAACAAGCCACCAAACAGAAAACGCAGTTCCCTGCACGCCGCCGCTCAGGCTTTGGCGTTTACGGGCGCTCGAGAGGGCTGAGGTAAACAAAAACACATGTTGCTTTCTTAGCCGGCAGGGGAAAAATGAGGGGTGAGGCAGGGGAGCAGCGAGGAATGGCGACACAGCAGAATCTGGTTTTCCTGTGAAGCCGCAGCCAGAAACTCAGAAATACACGGAGGAATGCCTCAGCCCCGACCCATGCTCGGCTCCGAGAGGAACAGAGTTTGTTTTCTTTGTGTTTTTTTGTGTAAATCTGCGCTCCGAAGCTGGAATCCGCTAAGTAAATAGAAGTTTCCTGTCTGAAGCTGACGGGCTCATTCAGAGTTTTTAATGGAGAGGGGCTCGGTCACCAGGCTTTTGTCCTTATTGGAGTTCCCAAAAGCCTGAACCAGCTGTTTAAATAAATAAACAAATAGACTTCCCGTCAATCTTTAATCGCTGCGATCTGCCGCCTCATCAGCCGCTGACAGTCACAAACTCCACTGTGTGACACACGTCACATTCCTCTGCAGACGGGCCCGTAAAACCTGCGAGCGGCCATTGAGGGCCACGGCCGGCCGGGGAGACGCCGCCATAAAAAGCCGAAGGGCACGATGGAAAATTCCTCTGACAAACAAATCACTCTCAAAGCAAACACTCGAACGGCTCGGCTGTTTGCCGGAGAATAAGGCCGAGCGGCCGGCGCTTCCTAGTTCCAGACACTTGACATGGACACAGGTCAGGGCTTGAAATGAACGCAGAACCCTCAACATTTCCAACACTGCCACGGCCGACCGGCGCGTCTCCCAGAAACGATCCCCGAGGCCTGAGCTGGCATTGTTTAATAACTCATTCTTGTGGCAGACTGGCTTCTCTACATAGCTCAGCGACTGCATAATAGCCGGGTCCAACATCTGCTATTCAAATTTTAGCCTCGCGCAGCAAAAGGCCACAATCGGCTAAGTTTAGCTCCACGTCGGGAGAGAAGAAAAAGTGGAACTGTGGCTAAAATCGGCAGAAAGGAGCCAGAACGCGGCGCCGTGTGGGGTGACCGGTATCCGCCGAGGGCCAGAAGCTTTAAAGAAGTCACCTTAGTCACCCAGAGCCTGAGCTTTCTGAATCAACAAAGACTCCCCGGAATGCGACACCTTATCTCAGGCTGCCTACAAGGACAGCCAAAGATAGTTAGGAGTCAAGAAAATGAGTAAAATGTGGAGAACAATCCCCGCGATGGGAACAGGGCAGATTCCAGGGTGAGACGGAGGGGGCTGGTTCTGAAACGCCGTCGGCCCGCGGGGCTCCGGCTGCTCCTACCTTTGTGGAAGAGCTCCTGGAGGCTCTCGGCGCTCTGGCTCAGCACGGCCCACACCTCCTCCTCCTGGAGCGGGCCTCCCCGGACCTCCAGGGCTTCCGCCAGAGACACGTGCATCTTCTCTGCGTGGAGAAGAAGCACAGAGCAGAAATGACACACACAAACACCCTAAAAGTACACAACAACACGCACACACAACCTCCTGCTGCCACACGGGGCTCCCTGATGGAGGAGCCAGCTTTCCACCTCCTTCCTGGTCCCTTCGGCCTCTTAGTTTCCTCTCTGATCATCGGTTGTGGATCTAACGGGACGCTAGCTGCTCGCTCTACGCCGATCTATCAAAGTCAGTCCACCTTTAGGGCCACAATTTACTGACCTCCGTCGGGAACCTGCGTGAACGTGGTGAATTGAGAATGTTGGGAGGAGCCAGACAGATGTTGATGAATGCTCCAGATGTTACTGTGCACAGGTAGACAGGAAAAAGGGCGGTGGACCCTTTTGCAAACTCCCCCATGTTTCGGAAGATGTTTGAGTCATTCTGCGTGGCTCCATTATCAAAACCTTTTTCTTTGTTTTCTTTTTTTTTTGCTAAGTAACGATTCCAGATCTCAGAGATTTAAAGCCAACAGCGACCAGGCAGCAGTTCAACCAGGTGGATTCCATCCCGAGACATTCTCCACCAACTTCGTGGAGAATTTGGAGCCACATTTTCTGAGTAATGCCTTAAAGCTGAGAGGGTGCAGAGCACATGACCCACGCAGGCAGAGAGCACGCCCTCCGTTCTGCACAGTAGCTGCTCGTTACTCGGGCCTCTGAAGTCCTTTAGAGAAGGAACACTTCTCGGCCCCGTCATAAATACGTCTAAATGTACACCTCTGTTATCTGATTACAGCTCGTAAAAGCTGAAAGGGGTCAGGCCACATTAAAGGGGGGATATCGGTAGTTTAAAAGAAGCTTCAGCTCTTCGCTCGGCCACAAAACTGAGCGGGTTTCATCGGGTCAAAGAGCTGAGTCAGACTCCCACGACCTGGACAGAGGAGAAAGGAGCTCACCGGCCCTTTTCCCGCCCCTAATACGCCGTTTCTCTCTCAACTGCAGTGACAATGCTGTCTAATCTTCCCAATTCAGCAATGGCATGTTACAAATGTGAGCAAAACAGGAAGCTCTCGTTCTGCAGACTGCAGCAGGCCGAGCAGAAACTGTCAGCTGACGGGCACGGACGCCTCTCCAAAGGCAGAAAAAAACCCAAAAACGGGGGAGTGAGAGCTCCTCGTTCACTTTGTCCGGCGTTTAGAAACATAATAACTCATTCATTTTATTCATTTAGCTGAATAAAAGCAGTCGACCCAGGACTATGCAAACCATTTAAAAAAAAACTATGGAAAAATAAAGAGGATGCTGATTTAAGTCCTCACAGAGAAGCCACGAGAGGTCAAAGGTCATCTTAAATTTTTTGGAGCAACTTAACAGGTGAAAACAGAGATGAATAACATCTCTCCTATTTTAAAAGATTATAGTTAGTAGTTTATCACTATACTATTTTGTGTTTTTTGGGGGGGCTTTGCTGTCTTTCAGCCCGTTGATTCTCATTTTAGGCCCAAAACTTCATTTGAGGCCCTCCTTCTCTGCAGGCGCATGTTTAGATACTGTATGTGCAAAAAAAAGAAAAAAGAAAAAAAGAAAGACTTGCTTGTGGTTTCTGAGTTAAATCTCTGGGGAATATGGACGTCGGTACATAAGTCCATGCTAATCCATCACAGATCAGGGCACAACTACGCAGCAAAACCGGGTCACTGGCCTCCCTGGAGGGGGGGGGGGGCACTTTCATTTCTGCTAGCAGCGTGTGAAACAATGTCGTTTCTATGAATTGGACTTTGCAGAAGAGAGTTAATGAGTAAACATGTCGCGGGCCTCCATGCTTATGCAGGAATGCAGGTTAACCATCCCATCAATGGGGGGCGTGAAGTTCTGGGCCAAGTGGGAGACTACCCATCTTGTTCATTACCCATGAGAACGGGGAGAGCTGCTGCCGCGAGGCCCGATTGTTTTGTGACCCTTGTTATTTCAGCGGAGACCCACAGAGGAATGTTTTTTATCCGCGGCCCCGGCTGGCTGCGCTCTCATTGGACCTCTGTTCTGCTCATTACGGAGGCACCTGGGTGCCTCCCCTGGCTGTTTGTGGGTGGATTCACCCCCCCCCCAGGTGTACCCAGAAACCCCTCACTCTGTCACCAAGACCCACCGAAAACCCACAACCAGACCGGAGAGCAGATCGCTGCCGTCCGTTTGAAAACCCTCAGTCACAAGGATTTTAAACGGGGAATAATCCTGGAAACGTGACAGAGCTCTTTGCTCCGGACTTAGGTGAAACTTTTCCTCTCCGCCCACCTTCCTGTCTGGTACACAGCTACAACCCACCAGACGGATTTGAAAAACAACCTGAAAACTGGCTTCAGCTTCATAACAAAAAAAAAATCAAAACGAGGATTAAGGCTCGTCTGTCAACGTGTGCCAGGAAAAAAAAATAAAAACCTGAAACCGTCTCTTTAGAACAACACTCCTCTCCAGAAACATTCACTTGGAAAGCTCCAGATTCCCGGTTTCTTCTCCAAAGGCCCAGCTCGTAAGAGAGAAAAGTTGGAATTAGTCGGTGTCGTCCAAACATCGGCGCTGTGGTCTCGGCTGGCCAGGAAAATCCATCCACCAACTCAGAGCGAGTCTATTCTCACACGAGGAGGAAAACTCAGCCAGCATGTCATCCAACATCAGGAATGATGTTTCCAGCTGATAATCAACCCGAATCCGGCCGTGTCACATTTTACTGAGACCATAATCTGTTTATTCAAACAAATCCTCCTCTATCGGTGTGGATGATCAGTTATGTGGGCGATGAGGTTTCTCTGTTTTTTACCACCTGATTGCCTAATGGAGCTGCCCCCACCTGGACCGGCTCTGTGGAAATACCCAGCATACTTTAGGTTTTCCGCTTCGATGGGGGCAGGACGGAGCCGGGAGGGGACCGGCCCGCCCGGCCGTTTCTCTGCTTATCAGTCCAGTTCTGGACCGACTGCCCGCTTTTCTCTCATTTTTTGGTCTGGACCTCATCCGCCCCAGTTCTGCTAATCACAGGGTTGCTGTGAGTGCCGTGACAAGCAGAGCAGGGTTTCGCAAAACTCACCCCCCCACCCCCAACCACCACCACCTACTCTTTCCAACACACAAACCCAACCCGCTGACTGTTTTCCCACTTATTCTGCCTCACCGAATGATGATTTTTACATCTCCTTCAGCCCAACAAAACACTGTAACCTTTGACTTTGACTTAACTTTAGTACTTTTCTATGGTAATGAAGGAGGGGGGGGCACAAGCAGCCTTCAGTCTATGGTGACACATGTTAAAACCTTCAATCCCACCTATTTAAATGGATCACATACTGGGTTGTCTCTCAAAAACTAAACAAACAAGCAAAAAAACTGTGTCACCTGGGCTTGAAAACAGCCCACTTTGCTCGGTACCTGTTATTATTTTTGGTTGGAACCATTGGTCTCCTCCCTCCCAAAAAAAACAAAAAACCCACTTTGCTGGCACCGATGCTGCTGACCCCACAGCCCCGTTTTTAAAGCCAAAACACAGAAAAACCTACGTGTCGGCGAAAGCTACCGGCGCTGCCAGAGGTTTTCCAGGTCAGAAAAAAAAAGTAGAAGAAGAAGAAGAAGAAGAAAGAAACCCCGGGGCTGGAAAAAAAAAAAAGTGGCCTCGTCGCGGTCCGGTTCGGTCCACAACCGCTTTCCGGCAGCTTTGCGGGAACTTACCGGGCCAGGGGGGCTACGGGGACGAGCTGAAGGGGGTTTGGAGCTCCGTCGAGGCTATGAGAGAGCAGGCGAACCGCACCGGACGCCATCCCATCCACAAAGCAACATCTTGGATAGCCGTTGACTTACACGCGAAGCAGGGAGGGGAGGCAACAGGTTTACTTTCCCTTTCGGACGCCGCCCTAACAACGCTGCTTCTAAAAGAAGAGAAATTATTAACAATAAAAAAAATAGATATTTAAAAAAAAAAAAGTTTTCCTGCCCAATGAGTCGCGTTTAATGGCCCCTGTTTAGTTGTGAGCTCTCCCCCAGCTCCACTAACTTACCATTAGTGTGGAGGAGCGGAATAAGCCCCGCCCCCGGGAGTAACCAGACACCTCCCCGCGCCCGCTGATTGGCTCCCCGCCGGGGGACTGTCATTCGCCCGTTCCCATGGCTACGCTCGCCCGGGAGTAAAACGCACCTCGCGGAGGTAAGAGCCGGTCCAGTGGATGTTTTCCACGCGGCCTTTTTTGGGCCAGAAATCTATAATAATAAATCTATAATAATTCAAAGTCAATTAAAAAACTACGGTGGCCCCTGTGCGTTCAACGCCACGGCAGATAGCCCAAACAAAACAAAACAAAACAAGAAAAACACCACAAACTGAACACCTCAGAGACAAAAACTAATAGGACACAACTTCTAACATTTTAAAAGGTTTTTGTTTTCTTCCATGTCTTTTTTTCAGTGATTTAGTTTCCTCTTCTTGCTAAGAAATGTAACTAAATAGGGTATCTTTAATTATTTGTCTGTTTACTGTCACCAGTGGCTTGTCGTTGATTTCTAAATATCTTTGTGCATCAGGCAGTGTCCCCAGAGGGGCTTTAAAAATAGCAACAAAAAAATCAAGATTTACAAACACTTCTGCTTTCCCACAGCATCAAACTCAGTCATTTAAGGAGTCAGGAAGCAATTCACTGCTAGTACTTCCTTCCTATGGAGCTCCTCAAAGCTGGTGTGTTTATGGTCTGCCTCACGCCATCTACTGGCCGATTGTTATCATTACATGAGGTTCAATGGGTCACCAATAATTATTATGTTGCTTTAGCTTTGTCCAGAAGTTATAACATTTGGTTATTCCTCTTTACACTGATCTGACATTCTCAGAGGTACATTTTTGCTGACATACAAACACGTATGACGCTTTTTAACAGGCTTAAGTCAGGCCTGTGTTATAATTTTTTGCTCTTATTGTCCGATTACTGGTCAGCTTCTTCTATGTTTTATATTAATTAAAGCTACAGATATTATCACTATCACTTGATAAAGATCACAAACAAATCCAAATCTAGTGCTTATGCATGCTTCTCAATCACTCCTCTCGCTCTTTCCCTTCTTTTTTACCCCCAAAACAGGAAGTCTCCACTTTTAAATGTTCTTTCAATTGAGGCCTGCTGACATTAACATTGGAAAAATAGAAATGCCATTACACAAAACTATAAGAAACATATAACAACGTGAAAGCAGGAATTCTTCAATCTGCTTATTCTCACTGCAGGCTTTTGTTATTTTCCCTGCCAGAAAATGAGGATGATTGCGTTGTTCGATTGTGTGGCCTTGTTGCTCTGATATTGATCGCACAACAGTTCCAGGGAAACTCGAGCCCTCTGAAGCAGCGATCCCCCAAATATTTTAATACCCAAATGCTTTTCGCTGGTCTGGTGTTTCCTGTTATCAAAACCATTCGGAGAAAAATGTGAGTGAGTCGATTTTGGTGCACTGAACCGGGACCTTTCAGTGGCTACAAATCACGACAAATTTGACTTTAACTTTATTTAACCTGTACGTTTGACGGCTGGGACAGGTTCCCCCTCAGATCCTACAGGGAATAAGCAGGTATAGAAAATAGATGGATCATCTTTCATCTGCACAGAGAGATATTTTGGAAATTATAGTGGGGGGTATTCAGCAGTGGTGGGAGGAATCTGCCCCTTCTTGCCCCCCCTCATAAACCCGCCCCTGAAAGGGAGCGCTTATCTTTTAATCTGCCAACTCATTTCCACTTTTCCAAGAAAAAAGGGGAGGAGGGCTTGAGTCACTCTGTGGTTGCAAGTCTCGGTCTCGGTTAACGATCCTGACTCTTCTGGAATGTGGTCAGTAGTCAATTCGGGCTTTAAAAAAAATCGTAAATCAGCTGGCTTGTTGTGGGTGTCAACACTTGTAACAGTTTGAAAATCTCCTGCCATGTTATCGGTCGCCACCGGGCTCTAATCTGTGCTTTACCAGAGGCGGAGAGGCCTCCGTCGGGAGGCAAAGTCTGGAAAAACAGTGTCTCATAACGCGTAACCATGGGGATCTGAAGTTTGGAAGTACTCTGCCTTTCTATTTCGGTCTGTCCTTAATACCTCCTCATCAGAGCTGGTCTGGGCCCAGAGGGCAATTTGCACTAAAACCTTGAAAGAGCGGATCTGCCTGTCATGGCAAACTTGGATATGTGGGGCACCTGGAGCCCTTGGTTGAGGGTTTCTGTCTTTTTTTTTTCTTTTTTTTTGTGACTGACAAGTTTAGCCTTTGGGTCCAGCTGGAGTGCATTACACAGCTTTCCTGGAGCTCTTTTGCTCCAGGTTTTTGAAGTGAGGACTGCTGCTGGCACTGGGTGGCTGCAAAATGCCCTGAACCTGCAGAAATCAATGGATGTTGGGTGAATGTTTTCATGTCTTTAGAAGCTTCAATATTTATGTTATGCATTAGAATATAACCTAATTTGAGTGTGCACAACTCTGTTGAATTCCCATCTTAAGTTGATTTGTATAGGGAAATTGGTCCTTGATCATCATAGACAGGAGCTCTTAGCCTATACGCATTACAAAAAAGAAATTAAACCATACCTCATAAACAATTACTCAACCGATAACACAACATTGCTGAGAAATAAGAACCAGAAATGGAGGGAACATGATGTGGAAACATCAAGAACCTGACAAAGACTAAGGAAAACCAGAAAACCAACTCGACTGATGCCAGGAGAGTGATCAGTGAAAGACTTCAGGTGAGTATAATTCACACAGGTGAAGGCAGTGGAGCTTATTATTAGACTGGAAGGGACCAGAACGGAATGCAACCCGGAAGAGAATGGAGGAAAGACCAGAACCAGAACCAAAAAAAGAGAATCATCTAATCATGAACGCATAAGTAAGACTCAAAAACAGAGCACCGAACTCCAGATCATGTTGGGTTAGAGGAAGTGGAGATTTTATTAGGTGAAATAAACATGTTTCTAATCAGAGGCCTCATTAATCATGTTTTGGGGAGCTTTAACAGCTATATTCTTTTTTTAATCCTGCATTGATATTTACTTTCTGTGTAGATCCAGATCTGAACTCCTCTGTCGTCCTCTTTTAGCCCTGCCAGCTCAAAAAAGACCTCAAAGATTATCTGAAGTCGTGAAAGGCATGAAAGTGAAATTAGTTCTGATCGTTGGCTGCTCTGATCAAACATTTAGCAGGTTTTGATCTGCTCACATGTAGATTTGAGGAGTTTAAAAGAACAGAATAGCGTTTTAGTAGAGATGTGTCATCTTTAACTGGTTATATGACTGGATTTGGAAGGCTGAGCCCCCCCTCTGTTATGTAAACCCAGAGAAGGCCATGCTCATACTAAAGTAAACCAAAGTCACTCATTAGAGGCAAACCTTTTCCTTTCAGCACTTGTCATTAAAAGTCTTAAGCTGATTAAAGCGGTTTTATTTTTGAGCTCCTGTCAGCACATGGCATTAAAAATAAAAATGCATTTTACAACATTCAGTGTTTTTTATTAAAAAAAAATCATTAAAAAAAGAAGAAACAATCATTCCTCCGTGCAGGGTTGATTCCTAATTAATTCAAAACTTTTTTGGGTAATTTGGAGGAAAAAAGGTGAACTCTGGTGAACATAAAGAGACAAAAAAAACAACGAAAGAGACCTTATATTGAAACCTATCCAGTCCAAGGTGCAAGAATGTTAAAAGAATGTTTTATTTTTGAGCTGCTGTCAGCAAATGGCATTTCCAACATTCAGTGTTTTTTTATTATTTAAAAAACCATTAAAAAAAAAAAAGAAACAATCATCCTTAGTGTGTGGACGTGTTGATGACACCAGCCTGACAGTGATCAGTGTGGGGTTGCATTCTGATTTAATCCAAATTTCAAACATATTTAGGTTATTTTGGAGGAAAAAGGTGAACTCTGGTGACCATGAAGAGACAAAAAAACAACAAAATACACCTTATCTTGAAACCTATCCAGTCCAAGGTGCAAGAATGCAAGAATGTTAAAAGAATGTTTTATTTTTGAGCTGCTGTCAGCAAATGACATTAAAAATAAAATGCCTGTTCCAACATTCAGTGTTTTTTTTATTTAAAAAA